TGAATGCGAACGTCGAACCGATCGTTGGACACGTAAATTCACGTCATCGTCGCCGGCGACGACGGATTTAAACCTCCTGTAGCCAGACACACGGTATTCCGTGTTGATGTGTTGATATTAGTAGAGCTAATTTGATAGTTTAATCAATTTCCGTAAGCCGACGGGAGTTTAATGGTGATGTCATCATTTTCAACGGGGTACAATGGGGTTAATCTCGCTCGACGAGCTAATATTCGGAGAGTTAACAGAGTTTCAAATGCAGGCAGGGCCGTCATTTGCCCCCGCATCCGCTCGCGATCGTGCCACGCATGGGATAGAAAAAGAAAAAAATATGCGATGTCGATCGTGGCGGATCTCGTTTCTCGGAAAATAGTGTCCTTCGATTCCATGATTTCGTGCGTGTCGAATAGATCGACGGTTCTAAAGTATTTCGAAAGAAGGGAAGGAGGGGAGGAAAAAATATTTATAACGGAACAAAAAAAATGTATTCGTGTATGTAATAATAATCGTTTCAAGTACATACTCTCTTTTTTCGCATTTTTTTTTTTTTTCCTTTATTTTTTTCCTTTTTTTCTTTTTTTTTTTTTTCGACGATTGAACGATACGCTCCTCGTATCATGATATACGATGATGACACTCGATCACGAGGATAAAGGATCAAGTTATTTCGTGCGCGTTCGAAAAACAATGGGGGGGGAAAAAAAAGAAGGGAATAAAAATGATACAAAAAAAAAAAAAAAAAAAATAATACTTTTTCATAACTGATAACTAAATGAACCTCTCGTGGCGCGCGCACTTCAACCGGATATTCCATCAAAAATTTATACGATGACGAGGAGAGGAGAGAAAAAATATGGAGGATAGATGAAAAAAAAAATCGGGTACTTCGAAACAAAACAACGTCGTCATTAAAATCAAAATGTATACAAAAAAAAAAAAAAAAAAAAAANGAAAGAAAGAAAGGAACGGAGCAAAAATAGGTTAAATAGAAGAAAAAAAGAAAGAAACAAAGAGGCGCGTGCACGCCTGTTACTTACCTAGATAAAGAAAAGAAGAGAAAAGAGAAAGATAAAAGGAAAAGGATGAAATCAATGCGTGATGCAGGTATCGACGATCGTATAAATGAAAAGTCAGCACGATGCCGGGGGGGGTTCGTTTGCAAACGGACGATAAAGAATTCCCATACGATACACAGTTCGCCTCTCGCGAGCCCAGGGAAAAATCAAGCTCGAATAGGCCGGCTGACTGGGTTGGAAGGGGAGGGAGTGCAGTGAGAGAAGAGAGGGATGCTGGATTACCACCGGCGGAATTAAAGATTCACAGGCGTGTTTCGCAGTTTTCGTTCGAGCGGCCCTGCATGCGAATCCCCGAGCGGGCATATTAGGTGGAGGCACGCAGTTAGGCAATAACCGCTGTCAATAGAACCCGGCCTCTCCTCCTCTCCTGGAGTGGCCCCCACTCGAAAATGCTACTCGCTAAATTAGGTAGGTTATATGGGCTTCGTTTCATTTGCGAGCAAACTTTAATAAACGCTAAAATTGCGTAAAAGAGCAAGGTTTTCAGACGAGCGAATCAGGGTCGGGGGTGATCCCTCCTCGTCGCCAACCTCCGCATATACGGATAGAGTTATGCCGTTAATGCTTCGAGGCTACCGAATCGGGATTTCTTTCTTTTTAACTTATACACTTTTTATTTCTTCCCTCATTTATGTACCAGTTTCTTCTCGCCGAGAAATATAGAAACGAGAATTATTGATGATTATGTGTCTATATACGTGTCTAGAGATCGAAAAATCAAAAGATCGTCAAGGATGAAAAGTTATTCTTTTGAAACTTATGAGAAAGAAATGTTATGTTTCAATGTAATATATTGGCTTACGATTTCTTCTTCATTCAGGTTTTATACATCCTCGCAGAAAAGAAATACTATAAGAATAATTCGAGAAATGATTCGAATTTTAATTACAAATCTTTTTTATTATAAACTAGAAAATTTGTTCGAAAGATTTAATCATACAGTATTTAAATATTTTTGTAATCACAAAAACAAAAAAGATAAAAAACGTTTAAATGGTTAAATATTATTGTCATCTTCTATTTAACTTAGAAAATATCTTTATTATTAATTAGATGCTAATTAATTATAAATATCTATTTTAATATATCGTAGTAAAATATGATTATCACGTGTATCACAGACGTACGAAATAGATCTAACATTTAATGCTTATCAATTATTTATTTTGTCCCATATTTCAGAAACATTAATGCTTCTTTTATCATTTTATTCTCTTATTCTCAATGTTCGATTCGATTCTGAATAAAATAATAAAATCAAGAATTTAGAATTGAAAATTTTCATAAAATTACAAATAAAAAATAATACAAATATTCTTATAGAATATATATATGAAGTACTTTATATATGATTATATTTATATATTTAAGATAACTAGCGTAGATTCCATTATGTACATTCTATATAAAAAGTTCTTATTATTACAAATTACAAATTAATTGATGAAATATGATGTGCACAGGATTAAAAACCAAATGTGTTTTGTAAACGTAAACTTTAAAAAAATAATTTGAAAATTAATATCTTATTCTCTTAATTTCTTTCATTAAAAATATATGATATTAACTCTCCTTAAATATTTCAATAACTAATATGTTTTAAAAATATTTATATAAACTTATGAAAAATTTTTAAATTTTTCTTACTTTCTTTGCCGAATTCGATATTCTTTATATTCTATAGCTATCACATTATTTATTTTTAATGAAATTTTATAAATGCATAAAATACAATAGATTATATAATTTTTTTTATGAAATATCATTAAAAAAACAAAATCAATGCTATACATTTTTATATTTAATTTTGTAATAATATAAGATAGAGTGAAATTTTAAATTTCACTCGAAACGAAATGTTTAAAATTCAAAACTTTATTATTTTATTATAACAAAAATTTCCGGATATGAAAATATAATGAAAATATACTGAAACTTTAAAAATTAATTTTATTCCTTCAGAAAAATTTTCCGTAGACAAAAATTTAATTATTGCTTCATAATGTATATTATAATTTATAATTTATAATGTACATACAAAATCAACTTTTATTCGAATTAGAATTTTCGGATTAAATAAATTTTTTTGTAAAGTAGCATTTAAATACATTCGTGAGAAAATTGTATAAGAATATATTGTTTTATGAAATCATTATTCTAGAAATACATTATAAAATTGAGAATATAATATTTATAATTTTAATTAAAAATAAAGATATATTGTAGTTTTGAAAGAGATATGATAAAAACGTATTTAATTTGATATTGTTTGATATTTCATTTATGAAGTACTGATTACGCGCTAAGAATAAGTATAGACAAAAAAAGTAAATACTAGGAAAAAGATAGAAATAAACTAAAAATTGGGAAATCAATGCCATCTTTTGAGTGCTAAAGATATCTTTGCGAAAGTAAACTAAGATAAAGTAAGAATCTTCATTATCAAAATCATCATTTTTAAAATACTCAAAAGATAACGTTGATTTTCAATTGTTACTCTACTTTATCGCACTTTCACAAAAAGATGTTTTTGACACTCAAGAGATGGCGTTGATGGTCAATTCTTATTATCTGTTATAAATTAGATTTTTAAAATAATCAATTATCTAAGACTATTTAACGGAATAGTAAAAAAAGAGACTAAAAAAGAGATTTAAAATTAATAAAATTGTTTAAATTTTTTTAGCAATAATTATTTTTAATAATTGTATAATATATAACATATATTTTTAAAAAGGAAAATTAATAATTTTGTTATAGATTAAATATAAGAATCTGTGAAGAATGTGTTTCGTTACAGAAAAAATTATAAAAATTATCTAGTTTGTGACAGTGAAAAATTATATTTAATTCATTAATTCATTTCAATCATAAAAATTAATAAACAAATTAAAGTTAATAAATTTTAAAAATAATTTCTTTAATTTATCATATATATATTAAATGAATTTATATATTTTTTTAATTATTATTTATTAATAGTCAATGCATATCATATCATATATAAACATCTCTTAAATAGAAGAAAAAATAAATCTTACAGTGCAAATATAGATAGAAAAATTAGATAGAAAAAAAGAAAACAAGGAGTTGATCTTTTTATTATTTTCTTTAAAAATATATAATTATATTCAATAATCTTCTATATTAATAATTTTTCAATTTCAACTTCAGTTAATAACAAAAAAATGACAGTTATAATTATTTGTAAAAGATAATTTATTTCCAGATACTACAGATAATACATATAATGTCATAAAAATTGTTTCGGAATTTCTTTCATTATATATATATATATATATATATATATATATATATATACGTATATATTTAAAAATTATGAAAATATATATATATATATATATATGATAAATATGTACATATATTTATACATATACTGATAATAGAATAATTAAAATGAAAGAAAGGCATTTAAAGTTTTCTATTTTTTATATCGATACTAATAATAATGATATATTTATAAATAGTTAAAAGTAAACTAACTGACTGAAAATTAACTGAAAAAAATGATAAATTCATTTTTATAGTTAGGTATTTTATTCATGTTATTATATTTATTAAACTATTGTATTTAATTTGTATGTATTACATATAAATGTATTAATAAAATTTACAATAATTTTTTCCAATTTTATTTTATTCAAATTATCCTTGATAACTGATCCTCTAAAAATATTATCAAATATATCAAATAATATATATTATTAAAAACTTGATATTTTTAGATTGTCAAGAAACGTGATTATTAAATTGTAATAATAAATTTAAGGTTAACTTCATAAAAAATATTCCTCGATATTTTTTACTTTTTATATTTATTATATTAATGAATAAATTTATTTAATAAATATTATTTATAGCATGATATCAAAAAATCGCGAATATTTTATTCAATAGTCAACTTTTATTGTTACAAATCTATAATATATCATCACAATTTTTGTTCGCTTGACAATACTGTTTATAAAAAAAATTATTTTTCTGCATCGAATAATAACTATTTGACAAATAGCATATAACTATGTATTGTTTAATTCTTATTAATATTTTAATTAATTAATTATTATTTTATCGCATTATTTATCGAGGACGAAATCAATATCAAAATCGATTGTATTTCTGATAATCAAGTTTGAATCTCATTCATAAAATTAATCTATTGTTCTGTTATATCTGATCTATATTCTCTGTTACAAACAAAGTATAACCATGAATATTAAATAACATGTTTAGCACATCAAGTTAAATGAAAATGAGATTGAAGAATCAATAGATACAAAATAAATTGATAAAAAACTAAATTAAAAAAACTTATGAAAAATATACATATATTTTGTTTATTATTATACAAAAGTGAAAAAAATTACAAAAAATAATATATTGATAATTTTGTATCACTTATTATCTAATCATTCAAGATAATAATTTGTTTTGTCTAATAATGCATTCTTCAAAGTTTCATATTCTTTTCGTTTAATATCAACTAAAGCTTTAGCTTGTAGCAAATTTGGTGGCAAGTCTTTATACTGACTAAGATAATGATTAAGTTCCGCTAATTCACCAGACATTTCTAAATATCTATGATATTTACTTAATATTTTTGTAGGATAAAGATCTTCAACTTGCATATCTATTAAGTCAGTTTCTAACTTTTCCACAGTTTGCTGATATTCTTTTAATTTTGTAGACAATGAAGCATGATTACAATAAATATCTTCTTGTTCTTTTTGAGATTTCTCAATAAAGCTTTCAAGAGAACTTACAGCTTCTTGTAAATAATTGAGTTTTTTTGAAAAACTGGAATATTTTCTAAAAAGATCATCATATAATAATGCTAACTGTTTCTCCTCATGCTGTTTTTTCTTTTCTTCTATTTTCTTTCTTTCATTTACTATATTCAATGCAACATCATTAAAATCACTCAATTTTTCACATCTTAATATTAAAGCTATTTTTTGCAATCCTTCCTTGATGTCATTAGGCAAAGATTGTGGTTCCAAATTTAATTTATTCAATAATGGTAATATTTGTTTTCCAAAAGCTATATTTTCTTCATTTGTTTCCAATATTCCTTTTTGCAAAAAATTTAATAATGATTGTTCCTCTATAGAAATAGTTTCTTCACGATACCTTGTACTCGATGTAGTACTTAAAATAGAATCAGTTTGTAAAGACGATTCTACCTATTTTTTAAGATTTATTTTTAATTATTATATAATTTTACAATATTTTATTTTTAAATAACATATTATAATTTTATCACAAGAAATATTACCTCACTGTTACACTCCATGTCAATGCTACAATTCTACACTTCATTAAAAAATCGTTACAAATCACTTTTAACTGTTCCTAAATGCATAAATTTTTGTTAATTGAAAGATATGTTTCTTGATTAATGAACTTAATTTATATTATATAATATATTTATATTCGATATATTAAATTCATATATTAGAGTTTATAATAATATTTTACAAATAGAACTCTAAAACTTAAAAGTTATTTACAAATTTAGGATTTCATGTTTTCACGTAGATGATGAGCGACCTATTGAGATAAAATTTTTATACTAACTATATTTATTGATCAGAAATGTACATATGCATTGAATTATTAGCACATTTGATGATAACTCATTTATACAAGTTAATGGTAGTATATATAGTATTTATAAATCGTTATTTAAACGTCAATTTTTATTGCTTTTACACAATGAAAATTCGTATTTATCTAGATTGAATTTCAATAACGGCTGTCTAGAAATATATAATTATATATAAAACGCCGTTTTTTGTACGCTTTCATGTACAGTTTTCATTGGCAGTTATTTGTTTTCGGTAACGATAAAATTCGTAAAATAGTAAATGAATAAATCTTATAAAAATAAAAACTAATATAAGTAAATAGTATTTGTGTTTCTTTGCTATATGATTCTATGTAGTAGTGTTAAAACGAATATTTAATATCAATATCTGTAAAATTTTAAAATTTATCATCGAAAAAAGTGGTTAGAAACAGCAACGATGAGCAACGATCAAGCAAACGAATTGTCTGAAACAGTTGAGGTAAAATCTTAAAATAAATACTTTTAATTTTTTATTTATCTTGAAAGTTTATATTTGAATTCTCTATAAATTTTAAATTTCTTTAATATTTTAATATTAACATTTTGTGTCATTATAAATAAAAATTTTATTAATATAGTGATTTAAAATATATTCGTATGATAATTATAAAAAAAATAAATTTTTGTTTCAGTTATCTTCCAATGACATTGAAAAAATAGAAGAAGCAAAATTAAAAGCAAAATTTCCAAATACTGGACGTCCAATTAGTGGACATTCAGCATTCCTACAAAAAAGGCTAGCTAAAGGGGTAAAAATTTATTATTATTAAATTATTATTATTATTAAATTATTTATTATAAATTTATTGTTTAAATATCTATGATTTAATATTCAGTTAAATTTTCTAAAAATAATAATTTTATAATAAATATATATAATAAGATTTAGGATAATAAAAATTTTATAACTTATATGTAATATATTTTCAGCAAAAATATTTTGATTCTGGAGATTATCAAATGGCAAAACAAAAATATACAGCTAAGCCTAAGCCAGCTGGTGTTTTGCCAACAGGTGATGCTATACCTACACCTGAAACAGTACCACAACGAAAAACATCTATAATTCAACAAAAATTTAATACAACAACTACATCATAAATTTTTGTATTGTTTTAAAAGTATTGCAACTCTGATATAATGTGGTTATATGCAATCTGAATTTTAAATGATTCAATATCTTTATATTTTATACATGGTATTATTTTGAAACTTCAACTTTTATATTTTTTGAATGCTTATACATTATCAATATATTGAAAAAGATTTATGTTCATAATAATATGTATATCTTTTCAGTACATTATGTGCCATAAAAACATTCTAAAGGCGAAAGTTTTTAAGGTACTTCAAAAAACAGAAATTATATATGATAATGTATTATGTTATTTATGATAATGTATCATGTATCAAATATTATTATTCTGATCTTTCTTTTATTAAAAGTGAAAGTGTTAATAATTTTGTGTTGTTTGAAATGATATTTTAGAAACATAAATATAGAATTTCAAAATTTATTTTTAAAATAAGTAATGAAGTTAAATATTTAAAAATACAAAGATTGGTGATAAAAAAGACAATGTTGTAACCATTTGTATATGCAATAGACTTTCAGAATGAGATATTATACAGATCTGCATTTCCAGTTGCTGTGATGTGCTTAGACTATATTCTTATAAGATGTCAGATTGTCTTAAAATCTGTATTTAACTTAAAATAATCTTAATATAGCAGTTGTTTTGTTTATTGTAAACTATATTATTAATATATTGCAATTTAAATTTACCAATATTTATTTAATTACTCCCATTATTTTGATAAAAAAAAGAAATAAATTTGAATAATAAACTTTTACTCATTAATTTTTTTTCATATTTGTTAAAGCATATAGAAATTTTAATAAAATTGTTTTTTTTGTATGAATTATGAATAATGAATTTTATATTGAATAATAATTTTTCTTTTAATATGTAAAATATTATTTATTGAAATAATTAGTAAAAAAATAAACTTATAAATAAAATATTTTAAATATTAAATCATATATATTTTAATTATAATTATGCATATAATGATGTCTGCTTATGGTTTATTTTTGCTATTATTTTTATTTTATATATTGCTATTATAAATATTATAAATATACTATATTTCTATCTTATTCTAGTTTTATAGAATAAATTCTTATTTTGCAATAAAATTTTTAATTAACTATTTTATAATTTATATAATAATAATATTTTATAAAAAATTTTAAAATTAACTATAATTATAATATATTTGCTATTTATAAATATATATGCTAAATTTAATAATTAAGATAGATCTACACAATTGTAAATTGATATGCTAAAATATTGTTCTAATAAATTTTTTTTTATTAATCGTATTTTAAATGTTAAAGTATTTTATTTTAGAAATATTTTTTTTTCTTTTTAAATTACAATTAAAATTTCCATATGTATTTATTTATACATGTCTTCTATCAAATTTTCATACATCTTATGAACAATATTTCTTTTAATTTTAAGTGTTGGTCCCAGTTCTCCAGTAACAATTGAAAAATCGTGCGGCAAAATTTGGAATTTTTGTACTTTTTGTGCATGACTTATTACTTTAGTATTTGCTCTTTTAATTGCTTTATCGATTTCTTCATATACCTATAAAAACATATATTTATAAATAATTTGTTTTTTATTTGAAAAATTTTTTGTTATATAATGTATTTGTAAGATTGATTCTAAAAGTCAAAAGAAATATAAAAGTATATAAAAAATATTAATTGAATGTTATTTAAATTATAAGTAATTGATAAATTATTTGCTTACTTTATTTAACATACATTTATTTTAATATTAAAAATTACTTAAAAAACTTCAATTAAAACTTCATTTTTATATATCAACTTTTATATTTATTAAATTTTTTAGAATTAAATCTAAAAATATTCTACAAATTAATATTTTCTACATATTAATAAACTTACAAATGGATCATGTGTTTCTAAAACTTCTGAAACTGTTTTTGATGTACTTCCAATAGATTGTAACCATTTTAAAGTATTTAAAGTGAAGTTATCTTTTGGAGCACCAGTTTCAGCATTAATTTCAGTCTAAAAATTATAAATAAATAAATAATTAAAAAAATATAATTTAATAATAACATAATAATAAATATTATTATATGTAGAAATTCAATATATCTATATCTTACCTTTAGAGTAACTAACATAGTAAGATATTTTCGTTTATCTCCAATTAATAAAGCATTACTTAATACAGATAGTTCAGCTAATACTAACTGTTCTATATAAATTGGTGGTACGTTTTCTCCTCCAGCAGTGATAATTAATTCTTTTATTCTTCCTATATTCAATATATATATATATTAGATAATAGATATTAAATAATATTAAATATAATATTATAAAGATATAGAAAACATATAATATATATTGTATGTATGGTATATGCAAAATATCTTACAATATATATACAATAAATATAAAATATAAAAAAAAATTCATATATTCTATTTGAAATTGTTTATAAGATATTTGTAAAATAAATTTTCTTTTTTTTTATTTTATATCTGATTATATCTTATATCTTCACTTAACATGATTATTTATATTTCAATATATATTTGAAGATCTTGTCATCAATATAATTATCTGTTCAATTTTATATCCTATGAAATTATGTAATCAGATACAAAATGACAGAAAATTAATTATAAATTTCATAAACAAGATTAAAGACATATGTTTATATAATTTCTTTTAATCATTTTTATGATTCAAATTAATTTCTGAAATATTATTCACATGCAAGACACTCTGTATATATAAATGTATACCTGTAATATACAAAAATCCATCTGAATCAAATTTTCCTATATCACCAGAATGTAACCAACCATCTGCATCCAATACTTCATTTGTCTTTTGAGGTTCATTTAAATATCCCATAAATACGTGTCTTCCATGCATACAAATTTCTCCTTCACCATTGCTATCTGGATTATATAATTTTGTGTTAAGTCCAGATATAGATCGACCAACACTATTTAATCTGAATAAAAAATAAATAAAAAAAAATCTATTAAATAGATCATAAAAATATAATTTTAGAGACAAAATATTTTCATATTTAAATTAATCAATGTGAATATTCAAAAATATTGGTAATATTGAATATTTTAGATACAAGTTAAATAGTTTTGAGGAGTACTTAATTTGATAAAAATAACTTTTTTCAGCAGAATATTACATAAAGCAAAAATCATATAAAAATTAGCTTCATATATTTTTTTTATGTTTTATAATCAATACTTCGTCGTAAATATTTTACTTATAAAACAATTATATTAAAATATATGTTTTTTAAAACATTCAATTTTTATTTGAAACTTTTTTCAGTAAAAAAAAACAAAAGTTTTAAAAATATTTATAACTATCGAAATTAAATTGAATATTCCATATAAAAATAAATATTTACTTGAAATTTATTGGTGTATTTAGAGTGTGTGCACCACTGCATTCAGACATTCCATATACATCTAATATAGGAATATCTAAACTTAAAAAATATTGTTTAATTTCGGAACTTAAAGGTGCTGCTGCACTAATACACATTTTACATCTATCCAAACCTAGTGCTGCTCTTATTTTATTAAAAACTAGACATTTAGCAATTATATAGCTCCAATGTTTGTGATCATTGCCATTCATTTTATTTATATTATAATAGAGTGCTTGTGATTTTGCCCATGAAGCAATCCATGTTTTAATAAATCCATTGTTAGCTGCAACTGCTTGCATTTTTTCATAAATCTTTTCCCACACTCTTGGTACACCTACGAATGTAGTAGGTCGTGCCACAAGCAGAGTATTAATTAAACTACCTTTAAGCGCATTTTGGTCTGCAAAATATATTGTGCCAGCTTTATATAACGTGAAATATAAATCAACTACCTGGAATCATTAAAAAATACATAATTATAATAATACTATATATTCAAAATCTGCATTTCTCGAAATCGATAATTTACATAATAAATCGTTTTATAAATTTATGTATTAAAAATTTTCATTTTTTACAAATTAGTATCAATTGTGAATGGAACTTTCTTATTTTTCAATCATGTCAACAATCATAAAAATTTATAAATTTATAATTACCTGTGCTGCAACATGAGATAGTGGTAAATAACTAACTAAAGTTTCGTAACCTTCTTTCAATTCCAAAACAATACTCATGCTTCGAACATTGGATAAAAAATTATCATGACTTAACATTACAGCTTTTGGATTTCCAACAGTACCTGACTGTAAAAAAAATGTTGTAATTTCATTTTTTAATTTAATAATTAAAAAATTATTCTTTAATATTAAAGTCTTATAAAAAATTGATTTTTCATACCGTAAAAACCAAAGTGCAGCATTCATTCACTGCAATTGTTTTTAGAACTTCATTTAATTTGACATCAGATTCTGCTTCACCAATTTTTATTAAGTCATTCCACTAATAATAAGTAAAAATTATTATTAAATATAATTTAATAATAGATTTGATATTATATGAAATGACTTACACTTAAAATATCTTTTTGTTCTGGTTTGCCTTCATATTGAATAATTACTTTCAAATGAGGAAGATTATCCTTTATTTGTAGTATTTTTTCTAATTGTTTTTTATTTTCAACAACTATTATATTTGCCTTGCTGGTTATAGCACAATGTTGACATGCTTCTGGATTATTTGTAGTATATATTCCAACTGCAAATCCTCTAAAAAAAATGATAAATTATATTATATTATATATTAATTATGTAAATATTTTATATATTTATATATGATTTATTTTATATATTTTATTATATATTATATTATATATTATATATAATTATATAAATATTTATTATACATATAAATATAATTATATATTATATAAAAAATTTGAATAAAATATTGTTATAAATTTTTTCATTTTCACATACAAGGATTAAAAGCCAATAAGTTTAAATTTATATAATTTAAGTCTCTTAAATTTAATTAAATTAAACAAATAAGAATTTTTTTATTGATTAAATTTTTAATTGACAAATTAATTAAATTATTACTATGAAAATACTTATTCATTTAATTTGTTAATGAAAATTTAAACAATAAGAAAATTTTTAACCATATAAATTATTTTTAAAGAATGTGATTTAAAAATTAGATATATTATCTTTCTTATTCTTCATATATGTAATATTTACCCTGCATATATTGCACCAAGATTTGCAAAAAACCATTCTGGGCTATTAAATCCTAAAATGCAAACTCCATGATACCGTTCTAAACCCAATTTCAAGAAAGCTTTGGCTACAGTTCTCACTTGACTTTCATATTCACTAAAAATATATATAAGTAAAACAAATAATTTTAAATATTATAAACAAAATAATAAATATTATAAACAAAAATATAAATATTATAAAACAAATAATTTTAAATATTAAATTTTTTTTTATTTCTATAAAATGCTTACCTATATGTATATGTTTTTCTTATACCATTTTCATCAGGTCTTGCCACCAAAGCTAAATGATTAGAATATTTCTTAACTGTATTTGACATTAATCCAGGAATTGATATAGGCATTGAATTAACATCTTCATTATTTAATTGTATTCGTACACGTCCATTGCATTCTGTAGTCTTAAAACTATCAGCAGGTAAAATTTGATCAGGTCCTATAAATAAAATAAGTAAAATAAATATGTGCTTTATAATTTA